CATGTGTTAGATCAAACTTTTCCACCAACAGAAACTGGTAGCAAAAAGTGGGGCATGTCAGGTAAATCAAGTACTTAAAGTAATCAGCCTGCTTTCCCCTGAACAAGCTTTTACTGGCAAATATGTCCTCATACGGCAAATGTTTACCGTAACGTTTTTAAAAACCGCTGTGATAAAGGTAACAGCAGCAACAAGTTTCACAAATCGGCTCAGTGCAAACATCATACTCTCTATACAGATGTGTTTACCTCCTGGAGTGAAGTCACAGTCTGATCAGAAGCACGGCACACACACACCGAGAAAACACTAAAGCCTTACACTTCATTTGAAATACGAGGCTGCAGTACCTAAAATCAAACTGGCAGAAAGCAATACTTGAAAAATTCTGATGACAGAATATGTGTACACAGTTCAGCATGTGGATCAATAGGCAACTGATATTCCCACTTACCAACGTAAGAGCTACACAAGGCATTTTGCCCATCTTTCCAGAAATCCTTTTTATCAGAAAGAAGTCACACTTAAACTTTTTTTTTCCCCCCACACATGCACACACAGAAAAATGCTTTAGATAACATTGCTGTAAGTGAGTGTGTGTTTATTAGTCTGTTTTCCATCCCCCACTTCTGTGGCTTGGTATTTAATTACAGGGTGGAGTGGTCCCGAGGCTACTTATGTTTCTTCCAGTCACAGCCAGAAAACTTCTGCAGGAACTGACACGCAAGGCCGTGATTTCTGCAAGCTATAGCTGGTTCCTGGTCAACGAGGCCAACTAAGGCTCACTGCTCATTTAAAGTCCCATCGTTACTTTCGTTTAGTAATTCTTGATAATACATTTAAGTAAAACAAATTGCATTTCAAACCTCAACAGATCATAAAGGCTTTAATACAACCTAGTTTTTTGCTAGTTGCTCTCCACCTCCTTCTCAATTTTCTTTTGCCAATGACTATACACATGTGCATAGCATTAAGCTGAAAAGAAATGGTGACTTTTTTTGACAGGCAGCCCTCGGATATACATAAATGTAACCTTATATGCCAGGTTTGACCAAAGAGTGTTTCCAAATGAATCATCTGACTTAAACACTATATATTATTTTACACAGTTTTAAACGCCGCTTTCCATAAACAGGATTAAATTTCTGTAGAAAACGCTATTTTCACCTGAAAAACATTACACCACGGCAAAATATTATAATTCATAGATGGTCGTTTTATAGCTGAGTATTACCTCCCAAAACTATTACTGAGTAATAAAGAAATAATTTATACCACTTAATTATTACAGCAATTTTTAAAAGTTCTAAATAAAACTGGTTAAACAAAACAGAAAGTCTACCTTAGGTAACAAATTACACTCGTATATTAAAAAAAAAAGGATATTGTTAAGCAGAATATTCTACTTTTAAGAGGTATAAAAAACAGAATAAAAGCAGATTCACAAAATAAAGTTTCTCAAAACGTTCACCGATTCGATTATTGTTGATGTGATTTGGAAAAAATATAAAAGACACTTTTGGGTTTTCCCCACAGTT